AAAGAAAATCGGCAATGAGAGGCTTGACGAGAGAGAGAGAGAGAGAGAGAGAGAGAGAGAGAGAGAGAGAGAGAGAGAGAACAGAGAACGAACACAGAGAGAGACAGAGAGGAGAGGAAATTGGGTGAAGAAAGAGGCAAAGAAACGCCGTTTGACAAGAGGGGAATGGTGATGTTTGTGTGTGTGTGTGTGTGTGTGTGTGTGTGTGTGTGTGTGTGAGAGAGAGAGAGAGAGAGAGAGGAAAAGAAGACACGGTTTGAGAGCAGTGAACGTGAGGAGAGGAGGCTTGACGACGACAAGGCGGGCAACGAAAGGGAGGCAGAGGAGGGAACAAAGCTCAATGCTGAGCGGCGCTCTACGTACTACGTGGCCTTCTCCACACCCTCGTCCTCCTCGCCGCTTGAACTCTAGAGAATCTCCACTCAACTACGGCCGACAACTCCCGTGCTGCTTCCAACTCCAAGCAGAAAACGGGCTTCGATTCCTTCGCATACTACATTGCTTAGGCGGGGAGTTACTTGACTTACTTTTGTCTTTGAGTTTGAGACTCTCTCTCACTGAATGCATGCGCGGGCTTTGAGCTCTGAGTAGCCGCTGAGTTCGCTGAGTTCCCTCCCTGCCCAGTTGTGAGCGCGGCGCCGCTTCATCGCCGGCAAGCAGATGCCATTGGCCCTCGCTCCACTACTCACCAAATGAACAAAATGTGAATGCATCTTCCGCTAGAACATGGGAATATGCACCGCCACCATAGTTTTTGTTTTTTTTGGCTTGGAGCGAGGGCCATTGGCGGGCTCTCCACTTTCCGATCGTTGCGCGCGCTCCTGACTCGTGTCTCCAAGGCCCTACGGTAGTTGCACTACTCGCCATCCGGCAAGATTTCGAATGCATCCGGACAGATGTGATGTCCAGATGCAATCAAAATGTTCGCGGATGGCGAGTAGTGCAACGAGACCCCAAACCCAGCCGACAACGGCTATTACCGCCATCACCACTACGGTCCGCCGGTAGCTCCGGAGGACTTTTTTTTCTTTTCTTTTTTTTTTTAGACTTTTTTTTTTCTCCTGTTTTTCTTTTTCTTTTCTGTTCTTTTTCCTCTTTTTTTTTTTTTTTTTTTTTTTTTTTTTTTTTTTTTTTTTTTTTTTTTTTGTGTCTCCACTTCCTTCATTGGGAGTAGCACATACTGGGAACCGGGATTGGTTGGTTCTTACGCTCTTTTTTTTGTGGTGGGTGGGGGTGGGGGAGAAAGGGTCCTCTTTCTTTTTTTTTTTTTTGGACACCGCCATACCCTCACATCGCGCACTTAGCTGAAGGTATCTGGCACCAAATACGGACAGACTTGGATGCATATGACAGCGATTACGTCCAGGGAGAGATCGGTCATAAAAATCCTAGCGTGAGGACACTGTCTGTTTGAACCTGTCGACAGAGGACGGTAAAAAGCCCAGGCGCAAAAACAAAAAAAAAAAAACAAAAAAAAAGGCCCAGGCGCCCGCCACCTGGAGATAGACCACTGGATCCCCCTATCGGTATTGAGCAGAGTCTGCTGATGTTGGTAGGGTGGGGGGGACCACCACCTGAGGGGAGGCACCAGGGATTGGTCCTGTTGGCATGATCCCTGATGCTACCGGCTGTCCCATAGCCAGGGCTAGGTCCCACTTTTAGTATGTATAGAGAAATGACCGTAGATAGCAAAGATCAACGGCCTAATTTGCGCAAGTGGGACCTTGCCCCGGTATCACCCACCTGCAGGTCAGGAGCAGCCCCTGAAGAGCTCCGATACGGCGATCGGACGAAACTAGTCGGGTCATCCGCCGACTGCTCGGCGACTCTCTCAACTTATCGGATGTTGCCCGTTTTCGGTCCAAGCTTCATAGCCATGTGCTACATGGTTAATTCACATTTGTGGCTAATTTGTCACATTCGGCATTCTGACGCGTTGTTGTCTTCGTTTTTGATGGGTCTGTGACGAACTAGCTTCTGTAATGCGCGACTTTCGGCGCGAAGTGCTAAGCGGGGTCCCACGTCGATTGGACGGGTTGATGGAAAATTGCATGTG